GGGCAAATCTGTCAGTCTCGTGATTGACAGAGAACGGGAGTCGGAAACGAATTCCAGCGTTGACTCCATAATATTTCTCCATTCTTTAGAACATGAAGGGTTTTCTGTGTCCTGCACTCCCCAGTTTGTATCCTGCATTCTCCAATGTCCATTATCTAACGAAACACTTAACTTCAATGTCCAGTTAAATTTCGTTTCAATGCTTTATAAGCCATGTTGGTTGTAAATGGTTAAAAACCGTTTAGTTTCGTATTCGTGGTTTTATAATCATACAAGTTGTAAACGATTTCAAAACCGTGACGGTAAAACATGATGTTTACCGTAAACTTTACAGTGATTAAATGCACAGATTGCTGCCGGTTATGTTGCGTGAAATTTTAGAATGAAAATTCTGAAAATGTAACATACCGTAATTTAAGAAGTTCGAAACCGCAGACAATGTACTTCTAAACCGTAACGTAGTCTGAGCAGTACCGTAATTCATTCGTATATTTTCATTCATATAAACAGCATTGAGCAATAACTGGAACGGCAGAAAACTAGTGTTGAATGATGCCACCCTTTAAAATAAACACCTCAAAAGCTTATAGTTGGCAACTGGAAACTGTGATTTGAACTGAGGATTTAGGATACTTTTTTTATATGAACAAAATTAAATCGTAGCTGTTGAGAACCGGGAAAATCAGGTCCAATTCAGCTTCTTAAGCTATTTAAACTGTAAAATTATAAAAAGAAAAACTTGGAAATTTGCTTTTTTTTATTTATAAATATCCAAATGCATTAATTTCGAAAAATTATTAATCCTCAAGCTTTGGAGAACACTGTAAAGAATAAAGTATGTTAATACATGTATTACATTTACTAATTTCAGTGTTTACTATTTGTTCTCATTTACTGTATATCTGAGTTCTGAACTCATTAGGGTATATTAAATTCATTATGGAAAGAAGTATATTTAACACAATATCACATTGTCAAAAAAAAATTAATACAGTTTTTGACAAAGAAAATCTTTTTCGAGCAGAAATTTGAGCAAAATTTTACGCTGTATCACCGGAAAGCTTCTTTTTTTTATTTAATCATCAGTATTGGGTTTATTTCAAGTCAATTAGTTCCAACATATTGAAAATTTAGAAGAATGAAGTTGAGCTTTTTGTAAAACATTTCTTTTATCTTTAAAATGTAATCTACGAACAATATCATGTCATAAGCTGCAACTCCTTCAAAAAAGTCATGACCAAGGCAAAGTGGTCAGTCTGACTCCCAAACGTTGAAGTATTCATTAAAGATAGCATTGAATTTTATACCTTTGAAGCATAAGCCATTTTCTGTGTTAGTAATATTTTCTTCATAGTTCCCTTTTGTTTTGACCTTATGAGTAAAATGTAGTCCTACTTTAATGCTGCTTCGCTAAATTGGAAGACATACTCGACACTAAAATATTCTGCGAAGCCACCAATCACATGTTACCCAAATTATCGCCAACTATAGGGCACAAAGCACTCCGAACATGTCCAGTAACTTTAAATCTTGACTTAATATAAAAAATACTTTTGTCACCCAAAATATTAAAAATCATCTAATTTTCAGAGCAACAGCTAAATGTTGTTACTATTGCAACGTTAGTAGGAAGGCAAATCGGTCAAAAAAAGTAAGCTGAAAAGTCCTTGTGCACTTTTTTTTAGAGCCAAGAGAAATAACTATTCCAAAAGCTTCTTAATATAAAATTAAGGGTATTGAATTTAAGTTTTCACAGAACAGTTCATTTCTTTTAAATACTTCACCTTCCTGAATGTCTCGATAGATGTTATATGAACAGACTTCAACAACTAGAGCCTATCTCGATAATTGCATCATTTTCAAATGTACTTTTAGGGTTTAGGCTATTGGGAAATATTGACTGCAGGATGGTTGTTTTATTTTTTTTAGTTTCTTCCTAAATAAAGGTAGACAGGCTCTACATAGTTAAGAAAATGCTGGATACAGAAATTTTTTCCTTTATAATGTCTTCAGTGTTGTAGTATTCAGTGTTGTAGAGGGTTAAGTAATTGTTGCCTTTAATTTCTTTTAAAATATTTTCAGTATCATTGTTATCAAAAATAAGAGCCGCTTTCTTCTGGTTTACTCTTTCTCATTTAATGTCAACATTTAAGGTAATTTTCACTGATATTTTGAACTGTTGATGAGGACAATGAAATTTTTAAATAGAATAAACCAAGATTTCTGAGAAAATTACTGGTTAAGTTAGGATCTAAAATACTGTTGAACAAATAGTTCTGGGATATTAAATTTAATTTATAATTGGAAGTTATGTGATCAATTGAATTAGAGTCGTTTGAATTGTCCTGATTTGGCAGAGGGTGGTGATACATAGAGTTTAAAATTAACAGCTTTCAAAACATCCAATGCACCTGAAGGGCAGTGGATTAAAAAACATGAATTTTTGCTGTATATGCATGTTGTATTGCATATTACATTGTATAAAAGAACAAACCATAACCATACCTTCATCTAAGTTAATTTTCCCGTGAGATATCATTTTGTGAATACAACAAAATACTTCATCATGACTAGAACAGAGATTAGTCTTCAAATCGTCTTGATTTCACGAAACATGAGCATGCGTTTATGCAAAGGCATGATCACGAAATATGTGAGATTTAACTGAATTATACGATTTAAAGCGTAGAGAACAATTTTTTATTATGCAAGAAAATGAGACATAATTTTACATTCGGATGCAAATTCCAGTGATCAACATAGGAATTTATAGGATTTGTAGAAAAATCACAAATTTCTCAACTGTAACGAGATTCACACGTTTTTTTCAAAAGCTCAGAACAGGGGAACAAATTCCAAATTGTACTAATAAAATTGTGTAAAAAACTCTGCATCATAACACACAATAAAAAAATGAGATAAGTTATTGAGCCTTTACAATGCACAGGATAACTAAGCAAGTTTCTTTTGACACTTAAGACTTATCCACGAGTGAATCAAGATTTTTTGCAACTTTTTCAGTTTTTGCCAAGTTGATTGCTGCCCAATTGTTGACGTCAAATGACAGCATGTGGCAGAGAAATTACCAGAACATACTGAAACTTATAGTACATTGGTAAAAACAATAATTTTTTGTAATTCACATTAATTTTTAATTAAAAATATCATTTAATTTTCACTTACTTTTAATTATGACCATCGTATGTGGAAGCCATATATCAAGAGTTGCGGTTCGAAATAGAATTTTCAAGAATGGATTTAAATTGTTCTAAGTATGGAAATAAACTAAAGAAATAACCGGTATTTTTACTGTCTAAAAACTGGCTAGAACTTCGGTGGTCCAACTTAAAAATGGTCCATCTGGATCCAGATATTAATGGCATCATCTTCTAAAACAAAACTGTGTAAAATGGGAATGATGAAGGGGAGGATGGTCAGTAATGATTTGGGCTTCTTTTTTATCGTATGATAAATCAGCTCATTTGTAAAAGATAAACAAAACTTTACTTTAAAATTTTGCAGGTACGCTATAAATCTATCTATTAACATCAACTGAAAATTACTCAGGCCACAAAATATTTCCCCACAGCAAGTTTGAGCTTTCATACACACAGCCAGAGAGAATGATAACTGAGTGTCAACTTAGCAAAGAAATCCTAACTTTGAATTACCCTGTACGGCCAACCGACCTAAACCAAATAGATAATTCTTGGGTAATCATTTGACAGAAAGTTTATGAAGACAGCAAGCAATATGAAAATGTTGAGTATATTAAACAATAATTCTGCTTAATGTTCACAAATATCCTCAGCAACAACAAAAAATCATATTTCTAACATGGAAAATCGTATTTATGGACTAATATTAAAAAATAAAAAACTTCCTCATCATTAGTCAAAATATTTTGAACATTTAATAATCCGTTAGAATTTACATCTTTTATAAAGTGTCTAAAAGTTTTGGGACAGCATAAAATTTTCTCCTTTCTTAAACTAAAATATTTATGGGTTACATTATTAAAAAGTTTATTATATAAGAAATTTTCAGAATGACATTTAGTGAAAATACTTTAAAACTCATTTTGAAAATATATATGGCATGTATGAAAATATTTATAGGAACAAAAAGTTAACCAAATATAATGCCTTAACAGGTTTGGGTAACAGTGAATATTAACAGCCAACTGCACACTACTGTACTTACTAATCGTGTTGAAATTTTGTGCACAAATATTTCTTAAAGCCAATAAATGAAATATAAAAAATTTTTTGTTTACATTTCAAAAGTTATAAGTGGTTTTACAGTGAAATTTTCAATATTGACTGACTATTTATAGTCATTTAAATGTCTTAAAATTTATTCGGAGAAATGAATGTTTATCATTTTTTCCCAATATTTCTTCTAAAAAAAACTAGATTTATAAGATTTTTCTTACCTCCCCACCCCCCAAAAAAAAGAAATGAGAAATTTTTGCATACATTCATTTCAATCCTAAAAAGCACATTGTGATAAAAAAAAAATTTAAATTTTACCAAGTGGCTAATAATACCCGGAATACTTGGTACATTTCTGGTTAGTTTATTTTTTTCTTTGTAAATCACAGAAAGTTGTAGTGAGATCATTTTCTGGGATATACTCTATTTCTTTTTACTTTAAATTTCTCTTTTACGATACATATTTTGCAATTATTAGCACAAATAGTTGTCTGTGATCTTAACGGAGTTTACCTTTGCGTATTCTAACAATATTCAATTTTGTCTTTATTATATTAACCTGTCTCAAATATTTGCACATCACCCTCATATAATTTCTTCCTATGTGAAATGCTTAGATGTCAATTCCATCATTGGATATTCCCTCAAATATGAAATTTAGATCTCAACGTTTTCAAAAACAACTTTGAAGTAGGCTTCAGTACCGATATATTTTGGTCGCCTTTAAGCCTTGGCACAGGATAAGCATCGCCAAATTGGCGAGTTCTCAAACGAATTCTTTTCACAAAGAGATCGGAAACTGACTGAATAAGAACTCATAAGAGAGTTCGGAAAAAGATTGGTCCAAATTCCTTCATTGGTGCTTTAGTCATGTGATCATTGTCATCACATTTTGATTTTATTGCAATGCTACCTGATTTATTCTGTCGATATTATTTTTCTGTTTTCATTTTGATTTGCAGCTGTTTCTGCATTTTGAAAAGCGCTTCACTTGATGTTAATTCCACTACAGGTAAGTTTTTATATGGATTTTTTCCAACAAACATGCCTGAAGTTTCTCTAATTCCCACGAAATATTATAAATGTAGTTAAAAGCAAAACATTTTATGCTTACATGCTAATGAAAATATGGATATTTATCTTATTCTCACTACATATCTGTCTTCAAGTTGTGGCGTTTCTGAACAATATGAATTTCAATTAAAATTTTAAAACCATAAAACTCAACAAAGAAAAATATTTCTGAAAATTATTTATTTCTTTTTTGGGAAACTAACATAAATTATGACAAAGTTCTGAATACTCAATTAACTCATAGATGATTATTTCACACATAAAAGAAAAATATAGTGGCAAATATTTTTTAATAACTTAATAAAACATTTTAGAAGATCTATTTTTCAAAACAAACAGAAATGAAGCAAATAAGAACTTTTTTCGCTTTTTCTTTATGGAAATAGAATTTAGTATTGAAATTATGATTAAAAGAACTTATAGGGAATCTTTTAAACATGAAAAGGGAAGCAGAATTAAGATAAAATGGAAGCAGTATTATGATAATGATCAAATTCAATTCTGAAAACTTTAATGTCTGAATAATACTATTGAATTCTGAATAATAGCAATGAATTCTGAAAAATCCTTAATAATAGTAATGAATTCTGAATAATTCGTAGTAATAGCACCGAATATTAAAAATTCTAAAATGTCTTTAAAAAAGAACAGTTTTTTATTTCAAAATAAAACGAATAAAATTCTTGAGTTGCATTTTATTTTATACTTTATAATTTACATCATACACTTTCTTGTATTGAAATGACGTTCTTTATTTAAAAGATTATTAACTCGCTTTCCAGTTTATCATAACTATATTTAAAAATTTCTGAGAATAATAGCTTGTTTTTGAGAGTAGTTTTATTACCCATGAAAAATTGAAATATAGTTTAATACCACGTTGTTTCACGCAAGTCACGTAATACATTTTAAAAGAAAACGCAGATATAATGGATTGACCGAAAGCCCAATGTTTCGTTTATTAATTTAAAAAACGAGAGAACGCAGACTTGTTTAAATTCACAATTTTACAGAAATAGTTTTGTAAATTTTAACGAATTCATATTCGAGAAATTGGAAAACAAAGTCTAGAAACTTTAGGCCAATTTTAAAACCATTTCAATTTTGCGTGTACAGAATACAAAATACGGGCTATTTTTATAAGCTCTAAAACTGGAAACAAATTAGGTGAAAAAAATTTAATCATGCGGAAAAGACTTTTAACATCTAGGTGCAAAACAGTTAACTTTATTTTAATAAATAAAACGTTACCATGACTCTCAAGAAAAGTAATTTCAAGAAGATAGTACTTGTATCTGAGAGCTTAGGTCCCAAACCCTTTAGTATTTGCACTGAAAGATTTCGAAAACGGTTCGAATCCTCAGTTTTATGCATAAAAATGAAAGCTGAAAACAATATCCATAAATTCCAAAACCCCAAAAGAAACTGAAAAAATTCTATATTGTCCCGAAAATATTTATAAATGCTTGAGTTTAACTCAATATTTTTTTTAAATAGATAAGAATCTTTCATAACTTCTAAGAAAAGAATTTCAAATGAGTAAAATCTTATTTTTTGTTAAATTTATCAATTTATACTTATTATACAGTAAAGAAGTTATCAAACTGATAGTGAACAAATATTTTCAATTCAAATTTGCCAGTTAAAATTAGTCCCTATGATCAGATTAGTTAAAAAATAAATGTTTCTAGGCCATTAAAGACATATAAGTAAATACAGGGAAAAGCACATGAAGAAAAAAATTATGGTAAAATTACCGTACTGTATGGTAATAAAAACATAATTTTGGTTAATAAAACCAAATTATGCGGCATTCACACCATTCATTTGATAATTTTTCCGTTCATACAGCAATGGTCGCCGGAAATTCTGATCTTCAAAATTGTAGTTTTTATTATAATTTTGAAAAGTATAATCTATAATATATATATATATATATATATATGCATNCATAACAATATATTATATATTAATTATATATAATATTATATATTTAACGGTTAATAAGATGAAAAATTAATACGCTTAAGCATTAAGTACGATTTTCCACAAATCTTCATAAATTGAAAAATGAATGTACTCAAAAAAATTAAATCAAGAAAATTAAAAAATAAGTGCCTATTTGTGTCCTTGTGGAATGCAGAATTAAATCCGAAAATATTTACTCAAAAACTACAATTGTATTACTGGAATTAGCTCCAAAAAATATTAGCGTCAATAATTAACTCAAAAATCGTCATAAAAAATGGTACAAAATATTTTTACAATGGCGTGTCTGGTCAATATACATTATTTATACCATCTTTCAGGTTTAGGCTATTTATCCTTATAACTTTAATGTGCATAACAACAAATAATTTTTCTGTTTTTGTAATCAAAATGAAATCTAACCGAAATCTTTGCTTTATTTAAATCATCTCCCCAATGGGGACAATATGTAAAACATACTTATAAATCACTAAGAAACACTTTGAAATAAAGCTGCAATTTTATCCAAATGTGCATAGAAAAAAATTTTTTAACTCAAAATTGAAAATATTTGCTTCTAGTCATTTATTTTCAGAAATTATTCAATAAATATTAAAATTTTAAAGCAAATTTACAAACTTATGTTTTTTAAAACGTATATGCACGGAATTCTAAGTTACATAAACTGAAAACAAATTGTTCTCCATAAACTCTAACTTATCTTTACTTTAAAGGAAAATGTTTCTTCTCTTAAGGCAACTTGATGTTTTTTATTATTATTTCCAGTTACATATTAAAGAAAAATCATTTAATTACAAAGTTATACGTTCTTTAAAAACTTTTTTTCAAAAACTTATTTTCAAAACAATACACTGTAAAAAAATGGTGCATAGTTGCTATCATTTTTGGTGTTGATGTAAACAAATTTTTTTACAGTGCATGTAGTCACAGTTTGTATTTAATTTTTCACTGCTATAGTTTTATTTATTTACGTATTCACTTTTTGTTTGTTTACTGACTATAGATGTTTTCATGAGAATTACAAGCAATTTATGGCTTCATTGCAAAAATATTTCGCTTAAAAAACAAGTACATTTTTAGAAATATATTCTCACTAGTTCTTTCGAACAATTGTTATTTTGTTGATTTTGAATACTTTTTTTTGCACGATAACTACAGTTCTATCTTAAATATGCATTCAGTTTACCTCAACGCCAAAAATGATGACAACTATTAAAAAGAAATGTCGCAGTGTATATTTCATTTCAATTTGCATTACCTATTCTTTAAAGAAAAAATGTTTTGTTCTCTTGCATCTCTTTTAACATTGTCTTGATTTTCGGTATGTTTTGTATAATGTTAATTGGTAATAAATCTATTACTTATTAATCTCATAATTCTATAATATTGGTCAATGTTCTATTAATTATCAATTCTGCAATCATTAAGTTATTTCGTATATCAGTAATGGTAAGTTACCAGTTATTATGTAATTTCTTTTCATTATTTTGATATTGTTGATTATTAAATCATTTAATTAAACTCTCTTTTAATAATGTAATATAGTGTATACTAAAATTTTGGTTATGAGATCATAACCTACATTACCCACACTAAACTATAATTTTTCTCTTAATATGCTAGTATTTGCGAAAAAGTATATGTAAGCATGCGAATATGTAAATATGTGAATACTTGCGAAAAATAGAAATTCAAATTGTGTTATTTTTTAATTTCGGAGAAATATAAAAAATATTTCGGAGATTGTAAATGATTTATTCAATTGACAACGCATATGTGTAGAAAAGACAATATATATATATATATATTTATGTATATATATATAAATANGCAAAATTCTACGTTGTGAATGCACACTTACTGTTCTGGTACCTACCATAGGTATGTATATTCTATGGCCAAGCTACCAAAGAGTATGAAAAAATAAGGTTGGCAGTACTATATATATATATATGTGTGTGTGTGTGTGCGTGTGTGTGTATATATATAACCCAATAAAACACTCTTTGCACATATATTTTGCTAAGAATAATAGATGACCAGGCTTACTGAAACTAAAGTAAGAAATATATGGCGCCTTCTGTCATTATAGGTAATAAGTCACTGATTCAGAGAGGATTTCGTTTTTTCTCATTAGTCAACTTCTATTTTTTAAGGAAAATATTACAGACAGTAATAAAAGGAGCGCTCATAAAAAGTGACATTAGTTTCGCTTATACTTAGAAATTTTGGTTATATGCCAACTTATATGTGCTTTAAGAATTTCGCCATAATATTATACATGTGGTTTGCAGTAAAACTAGGAATTTGGATTGATCGCATTATAATATATGAATAATACAGATTTCTATTCTCAACTTTCTATAAAAAAAAAACTCTTTTTGACTGATTATATATATTTTCTATTGATTTTGTACAAAACTGATACTGAAATTTCGCAAATACTGAATGATTTTAAAATCTTCATATAAAAGGAAACTTTAAACTCCACAAATTCGGAAGCCCTGTAGTAAATAATTACAATTAGGTAATAACTTAATACGTCGCACTTGTTAAAAATCTAATCTTATGTTGAATAATGTTAATTATGTTAAATACCTAAATTTCTGCCTAAATTATTATGCCATTTAGTGTTTAATAAAAAAAAGTGTAAACTTATCTCTAAAAGGATTATCCCAGTCTTAATATGAAATATTTATTAAATTTTTTTTACAAATTTTTTTTTATTTATTCTAGAAAAATGTCTTACATTAAAATGAAAAGGTAAACTTTTGAAACCTAGAAGTATATAAAAATGAAAAAAGTCTTTATCTATAAATTTTTATTTATTCCAGAAAAATTTCTTACATTAAAATGAAAAGGTAAACTTTTGAAACCTAGAAGTATATAAAAATGAAAAAAGTCTTTATCTATAAATTTTGCTTCCTCTCTCAATTAACATTATAGTAA